GTGTGTGTGTGTGTGTGTGTGTGTGAGTCCAGCCCAGAAACACACACAAACTGTCGCCCACCACAGAGCCAGGCTCAGGCCTCACAGAGCTCCGGCACACTGGCTCGTCACCGTCCTTTACTAGCAGGCAGAGACTAGTTAAAGGTACACTCAACGTTAGCCTCATCAGCCATAGGCTCTCAGTCCATTTATGAATTAGAAATGCTTATTACATATTTGCTAATTATAGTGTGTAGCTGTTTCAATCGGTGCCAGGCTAACAGCAGCGACTGGGTGTGTGCTGTAGTGAGACAGCTGTCAGTGTTATGCGTGCTCCGTCCCTCTCCACAGAAAACGGCAAATATGAAACATGGGAGAGAGCAGCGACGTGTTTGCTGACATACTCACAGGAACAGACATTTTGCTGGTGCTCCTGCTTTAGACCGCTCGGTGCTTCGTCGCTTGCTGCTGATTTATTTAGCACTACCAATTGTTCTTGCTAGCTCTCCAAGTGTCAGTCCTCCGTTATCCCGTCCATAGTTAGCTCCAAAGAAAAGGCAAAGGTCCGGCCGGACACGGCGGCTGTGGGCTTCTTCAGACCGGAGTGTTTTAGTGCGGGATGTAGCGGCAGCATGAAAGCCTGTGCTGCCGCCTGAGTGTCAGCAGAGCCGGCTTCCGCCTCGTCTCCTGCCGCTCCCTTCTCTGTCCCAGATTCCTTCAAGGATATCTTTAGAAAAGCTTCCGCTCGGCCACAGGGACCGGGACCGCGCACATTCGTCAGAACAGCGTGCTGTCAGGTCCGTGCCGTTATCCACCGGGAGGAGAGCCGTGCCTGTCCCGGTCTACCGCCGTCCTCCAGCACGGATCATCCAGCGCTGCCTTAAAGGGACCGGCCTACATTTACGATACATGCGTGCTACCCTCTGGGGTATGCTGGGGTGTGTTTCCAGAAATACACGAAAAGACTACAGCGGTTCCGCGTCTTCGTGACCATTTACCACCGATAACCGATACAGACAACTGCTGTACCAGCCGTGCTGCTGGCCTTTGGCAGTATGAATGACATACAGCACCAACAGCACCGCACTGCTGGTACAGAGCCCGAAACATGCAGACAGCGGAGAACCCGCTGGCTAAGAAGAAGAAATGAAAATCATCCGTTATTGGGTAGCTTTCTCAGGAGATGGGTACTTTGTATCAAATTCAATTATAAGAAAACAGATGGAGTATTAATTAATGAAAACATTCATTTAACAAGATCACCATTATAGGTCCATGCATTTAAATCTCTCATGAAACACCAGACTCAAAAGCAGCTGTGCTGATCTCTGCTTACTGAAACCCCAAGATGATCACCAAACCAAACGACAGCTATGGTACCTGCTTTGCTAGAATAAGAGAATACATTAGTGTACAAAAACTGGCATAGGACAATCAATAGACCTTTGAGTTTATTGTTTTTATTTAAAGATGGATCAAATAAAACACACTTTGATGATCTTCACCTGATCAAATTTACACATTGCCTTTAGAATGTAGAAAATAAGAAATAAATGTGTGGATCATAGAAGTTTAAATCTTTTTTCTAAAAAAACAACAACAATAAAACCCCCATCATGCACTCATCCACTCCTGGGCTACAGTCTAGATTTGGAAACTATACCTCTGCATGCTTCATGTTACAAATATGGTGTTAATGCAGGAACTGAATTCATGTTCAGGAATTACACGATGGTTAGGACTGTTGTCTCACAGCAAGAACGTCTTGGGTTCGAATTCATCTGGCCGGGGCCTTGCTGTGCTGAGTTTGTATCTTCTCCCCATGTGTGCTCTCCAGGTACTCCAGCTTCCCCCCACAGTCCAAACACATGCGCTTAAGTTAACTGGTGATTCTAAAACTGAGTGTGAATAGCCGTCTGCCTCTCTGTGCTAGCCCTGTGACAGGCTGGCAACCTGGCCACGGTGTGTCCCCCACCTGCCCTATGGCAGCTGGGATAAGCCACTTAACTGGATAGGCAGAAGAGAAAAGAGAAAATATATTTTTATTGCACATAATGCTTGTGCCAAAAGTTGCTGACTTATAATATTTTATGATTTTCTTCTAATGAACGGTGGCTATGGGAGAAATGCCACTAGTCTTTGGGCTTACAGATAAAATTCAGAATCAAAGCCAAATTGGGAGCATGTCTATGAATGAAATAAAATGCTTTGTCTGCTGTGTTGTTTCAGTTGATTTCTATGGATGTTTAGTTTTTTTTTTAACTTTCAAATTCAAGCAATCTTTAACTTTTGACTTCAGAATGTCATGTGACCAGCTATAGCTGTTTTTTGTTCTTATACCCGAAAAAAAAATCCAAACTCCTCAAAATCCTGTGCACTTCTATAAAGCTTGTATTATTGGTATACCTACATGTTGCCACCCACCTCTGCTTTCGTTAAGTACCAACATCAAGTTCAATAAGTTTCCATAGTTTGGATTTTTTGATTTTAGTTAATAGGTCAGTGAACCTCCTTTCGATGTGAAGGAGCAGTGGAAGGAGGTGACTGACCAGTCAGTTGAGGTGGTTCGGGCATCTGACAAGGATGCCAGGTGTTGTGGGCATGTCCCACTGGGAGGAGGCCCCAGGGCAGACCCATGGACACGCTGGAGAGATATCTGTTGGCTGGCCTGGGACCGCCTTGGTGTTCCCCCGGACAAGCTGGAGGAGGTGGCCGGGGTGAGGGAGGTCTGGGCTTCTCCGTTTGGGCTACTCCCCCTGCAACCCGACCCCGGATAAGCGAAAGAAGGAAGGATGAATGGATGGACAGTCACCTCCCACTCTTCAACAGAAACTGCAAGCAGTTGCCTCAGTCCCCCAGGGCTTAAACTTGAAACATCTTACTTCTTGTCTGGAGTGTGTAAACATGCTGCGCCGTATGCTAATTTCCAGTGACTCACAGCAACTACAAATAACCAAAATCACAGCTCAGACGCTTTCATCTTGAGGCAAACCAACCACCTTCCACAAAATTTGCAATGCTCAACACTTGTCTATCAGTGTCTCAGGGAGCAAGTTCACAAAGCAATGTGCAGCGCTTGATGTGGGGTTCACAGTCACTGACCCCGAGGTCAACGTGTATTTTAAGTAAGTGATGTGGGAAGCTGCTGTGGAGAATGCCAGAAGTTCAAAGGTCAGCTACAAATGTTTTGGACCAAGCTTTAACATGAATGTGTTTCACCCAGCTGTTTGTGTTTGTCCTTACACACTGCTAATATCAGCACCAATCTTTAATAAGAGTTCTTGTTCTCTAAATTTACATGGATTTAAGTGTTTCTGAAGAAACATAAACATAGTTTTTTCTTTAAATCTAGCAGTGCTTGCTAGTGGTATTTCAAGATGACTGCAGCAATGTTGGTTCAGTCTCATCTTCTTCCATGACGCAGTGGCCCGGTTACCACAGCTGTAACTATGCTGCAGTAATCCCACTTGCAGTTTCTTTAAGACCTGCACGTTCTGGTTACTGCTGTTAGCTACACTGTTAGCATCTTTCAGAGGTCATCATCAGAAGCTTCAGCAGAGCAATAGTTTTACTTTCAGCTGCCACAACCTGCAGTTCAGCTGAATCTATTTAAATAGTGAGAGAAGACTTTGAAAGTGTTAATACAGAGATTGGCAGAGCTGTGAAAATAAGAAAACTTCAGATGCTACACTGACAACCACATATTATTTAATCATTACTACATTTTGGTTCATTAAAAATACTGGCATGAAACCAAATGACTTGTTTATTTTGATTTGAGTGTGTGCACTGCTGTGGGTGGGAGAACTGCACTTGTTGTTGTTGAATGCAGTAGCTACACTTTTGGAAAGGCAGAACTCGCACATTCACGGTCACCGCCATTCAGCTGAAAACCAGCCAATTGATCGGTGCATCTCTACTGAAAAGACTCACTCTGTTCATCTATATGTGCAGAATCATTACATGTGATGTGCAAACTATTTTTTCTTGAACATTTAAATGTCATATGTCTGCAGTGTTAATAATAAGGCCTTTTTTTGTAAATCAGTAACACTACAAACTGCTAACTGTACACAGTGGTTTTTATAATGAGCTTCAAACTCTGCAAAATACAGATTTGTTTTCATGATAATCTGAATAATGTTAAACACAAAACTATCCTGATTCTATTGATGAAAGCAATAAGACAGTTCAAACGGTTTTCCTTAATTGATAAAACACCAGAGGTACAACCACACACACACACACACACACACACACGAGGACCAGGAAACACAGAAACGTCCAATCAGTCTCACTTTCTGTTGCAGCTATTTGTCCACTGAACCTAACGGATACGTTTGCTTATCACAAACAAAAAAATACTATTACTAATACTAAAATTCTACGAAGTACACTTTGATCTGTGAATCAGCCAGCAGACTGAGGTACTTAACGGTCTTATGGATGAAGTAACATTTTTTCTTTTAATAAACAGCAGCTGTAACGTACCATATTATGATTCAGCTATTTTGGAGTCATCAATATGGTGAGTATTACCACTACTGCATGGCTCTGCTTTGAGCTCACTGAAAACAAAATTATTGTGTTTGTGGTTTTGGTCGGCACCAACAAAGATACATAATTACAGCCTCTACCCTAACAAGACAGACAGATTGTCTGAGTCCTTGTGCTTCTTGGCCTGTCAGGTTTTACACTATAGATGGTGTAATGTTCCCAGATCCTGAGTGGTATTAAAGTTCAATAACAGAGAGAAATTATGCAAAAAAAAAAAAAGAAAAAAAAAGAAAAAAGAAAAGAAAAATTACAATAAACCAGTGTGGTTTTTAATCCGTCCTTGAGGTCTTAAACCAGCCACTTGAGGAAGCAGGAGGGATGCAGTGTTAAGGTCTGAGATTCGTTATTGGTTACACAAGGATGGAAGCACACGCAGCAACCCTCCTTCATACAAACTGAGCCTATTAATATACCGGGCCTGAAATAGACTCGAGCGAGAACAGTAGTTTGAGCTCACTGTAAAGGGACAACAGCACCTGTCTCATTAGAGAAAGAAAGAGAGCTGCAGGAAAGAAAAAAAAAAGCTGTTCTCTGTGCAAGTGTGTTGTCAGTCTGTGTCATTGCTTCATATTGCTCAGCCGTACTGCCTTTTCCAATTCAAACTGGCGGTGGTCGACACGCTCCAAGAAATTCTTCCGCTCCACATACCTAAGCACACACAAACAGAAAAGAACAGAAACATCAGACCTACTTTTATCAATCCAGGTACTGCAGGCTGTTGTCATTTACTAAAGAAGCACAGTGTCACCCCCGTGTTTTAGGGTGGCTCTATTGCACATATATGCATAAGGTGCTACTAGGTGAGCTCATTCATTGTGAACGACAGGGGCAGAGTTTAGTAGAACAGTGTTCAACTGGCACAAGTGTGCAGCTGTAAAAGTCATCTTGTGACTCATCACTGCTGCCTCACTCTGCATGTTCACAGCCTGATGAGATGAGGATGCATCTTGTTTTACAGGCAGCCAGATTACTCACATTTCTACAAAGACAGTGGAACACAATGAAAATGCCTCATGTCAGTAAACAGAGCATCTGTTTTTAACTCTCTCTGGTATTTCATCTTTAAAAAACAAACTGTAATAACTGTAAAAAAAAAACAAACAGTATAACATACTGTACTGTTTTGGTTGGCAGACTATTCACACACTCACTACTCGATCTACTGATTGCTGAGATGCCAGTTTGCACTGCTCTTGGTATAATGCTGGTCAGTGCTGAAATGAACCGACTGCTTTGTTTAGAAATGCAAGATTAATGTTTATGGTCAGCCTCATTAGGGACTAACTCAACGCTATAATGTTACAGCAGAAATGAGATCCTCACAACACTTATCAACCTTTTCCACTAGGACCTACTCAGATTGGCTCGACACGGTTTTTAGGGTTTTTCATTAGGTGATGGCACCTGGTACCAGGTACTTCTTTTCATACCTACTTTCTTCCACACCTTGCGATCAAAAAATAAATAAAATAAAAAAAATGGAGTGATACTTGCCTGCCTGCCTGCTATCTTTGTGCAACTGCTAAAAGTTGAAGCGTTTTTGCTGTTAACATGCAAAAGATTGATAACTTATGTTTATTTACCATGCTATAAAATTAAGTACATGATCTCGACCCATTTAGAGCACAAGCAGACATCTCCACTTTTTTTTTACTGGCACAGAAGTAATACACAACCAATATGATAAGTAAGAACAATTACATTCAATTTCATTTTATTTATATAGTGCCAAATCACAACAATTACCTTAAGGAATGTTATATTGTAAGGTGAAGGCCCTAAAATGACCTCTTGTGAGCAGGTACTTGGCGAATGTGGAAAGAAAAAACTCCTTTTTAAAGGGAAGAAACCTGCAGCAGAACCAGGCTCAGGGAGGGGAAGTCATCTGCTGCAACCAGCAGATTCTCCCTCCACAAATAAACCATTTCTCTGCAAATTCTCAGTTAGCTATTTGACAGCTAGTCTTTCAAGAATTTGAAAATAAGAGGAAGGTTGGAAATTTCTCTATAGTTAGCCAAGATGAGGCTGAGGAAAGACTTCTTAAAGAAATGGTTTAACTACAGCCACCTTGAAAGCATGTGGTAGCCAGTTAATAATTATTGGAAGGAGTTTGATAACATCAGTAGGAGAGTCTAAAGAAATATGAGCTGTTATTAAATATTAAATACGTTATTAAGGTTGTTTTACTTAATGATATGTCTGTAGGACAGGCGTACTTCCTTTTTTCTTTTTGTTCAGTTCAAGTATGATAAATAAATATATACAAATCTTACTAAATTATTTTGTCACATGACAACATCCAGTTTTGATGAACATCCCTCTGGACCACAGTGAGCATTACTTCACACATGCTGAAACTCTCTTACCCTTCTCTGCCTCTGTTGTGGATAGCCAGCTCCTCGGTGATGCCCTCCTCAGATTTAAAAGCATCCCAGTCCATTTTTGACTTTTCCAATGTACTCATTTTCTGTTTCTTTCCCCCAATACGACTTAGGACATTTGACATGCCTGCTGGACGCTTAGTACTGAAATCAGAAAGAGAAGCCTTTAGGTGACCCACCAAATTCACACCCTTAAGATTTGAAATTCAAGGTCAGTTTAACTGTCATTAAGGTTGCATAACAAACTTGCAGATGTGGCTTTATGAAAACAAACAAAAAACACTTAAAAACATTGAAAAAGAAAAGATAAGAAAAGAAAAGAAAAACTATTTTGATTCAAAAAGCTGATGGAAAAATTGTTCAGAGATTTTGGTCCATATTGACATGATAACATCATGTTTAAGAAACTAGTTTAAGATGATTTAAACTTTGTGACAGAGTGTGTTGGGTACACTAAAGGGGCAGACAGTGATAGGTCAGCAACAATACTGTAGATGAATAATGCACAGTTGATACTAGATACAAAGAGGCAAAGGGTGCAAAATGACCATTATAAAAACCCTTACACCACCAACAGCAGTCTGACTAGTGTTTCCAAAATCTCATATCCCGATATAAGACATCTATCGTCCCGATAACGATATAAATCACAAAAATGTAACACGTTCTGTAAATTCTGTGAATCTCGGGCAGCTCGACTTGCGTGAAGTTTTTCCAGCTGGGCATCGTGTAGCTGGAGTCGAGTGTTTTAACTGATGCATGAAACGATACATTTTTAGACATAAGTTGTAACGGCCGCCATTTTCTTTGTGAGTATTTATTACACGGCGTGCTGCGGGGAAAAGCCTGTTCTAACGTTTGAGTCTAAGGTTTGTTTTTTAGCACCTGACGGCTCTTTTTTGCTTCTCGTCTGCATACTCTTTCACATAATTCAGTTTATTTTGAAAAGTCTCAACAGGATCTTGAGCTTTATTGTGAAAGGCTTATGTGGAAAATAAACAAGCGGACATGCGATGGTGTTACCATCGTTGTTGCTAATGACAACGCATAAAAACAGGCGCTTGTCCGTCTGTAGTGTGGTTATATTAAATATAAGAGAAAGAGAGAACTTTAAGAAATTAATATAGCCACCACAGTGACCATCAAAACGATGAAAAAATATTGCTGTAAACAGTTTATTTTGTGACACCACAAAACAAACGATAGCGTAAAATGAAACGATAGACGTTTTTATATCGTCATCTGAGATATATCGTTATATCGAACAGCCCTACTGTCAGCTTGGTTTTCAAGTTTCTCGCCACGCTTCTATATCACAGGCTGAACGTGGACACAGACTCTTATAGTTTTATGAGGACAGTACATAAACACAGACTGGGGCAATTATTAACAGAATGAATTCATTTTTGAGTAATTGCCCAGCTGTAACTTGCAACATCTTTCTCCCCCATTTTAGTTATTTGTGTTACAGGTACAGTTAATGCAGTGGCCCCTGAGTGTAGTACAGTATCTCATATAGTCTAAGGAGGTTGGAAACATGGCAACTGGACTTCTTTCTTTCCCAGCTCCACTACCATGACCTGGATGACTAAAAAATAAACACAGACAGCATACTGCAGAAATTAATTTATGAAGGACCAACAGCTTCTATGGTCAGACTTCTCTCTCACACACACACTTATTACTGCCAGCTTATATAACAGCACATACCAACACTATCATCTAAATCTACAAATAAATGATAACTACACAACCTCAACAAGGACTGATGATGGGGTGGTGCTAATGAGTCTTTCCTGTTGTGTTCCCTTTTACACACACACACACACACACACACACACACACACACACACACACACACACACACACACACACACACACACACACACACAGCTGAGATAAACAGGCAATGGCTTGTAAAGCACCATACTTCCTGTAAGCTGGAAGATGATTTCCTGTGTCTGGGGTGGAAGATGTGCACATCCTTAGCTGACTTATTACCGTGGCAACAAAAAGTATTGGAAATACTATTGTATTGGAAGTTGCAAATGGAAAAAAGCATTGCAGAGCATACAGCGGGATAGTGTAGCTGGATTTCACTGTTATCTGAATGGGGTGAGGTGAAGCACAGCTGGCACTAGTGCTACTCCAGATGTGTGTTTGACATGCAACAAAATCTGTTGCATACAGGTCACAGGAGCCGTCTGTGCTCTCACTGGATCAAGTCTGCACAGGCTTGAGGTCTTGGGAGCTTCAGTGATTTTTAAATAATGATGATGATCTGCAGATACGCAAATATGACCAGAGCTAGACTGATTACGCAGAAGAGTGTTGGTGGGATGACAGCACGTATAAGGTCTCCTGTCTCACCCAAAGGGTGCGCTGGGACAAACCAGTCTCACGGGAGTGTGAAGACTACGTCAAAAATCCTGTCGAACACCAGTGCTACTCCTCAGGATCTTAGCAGACACACGTGTATTATCAATTTGAAAGTCCTAGGTGACTTCCTTTTTGAGTTAACGCATTCACAAGATTCTCAGATAACTTGACCTCTGACCTTGAGTTCAAGGTCACTGAGATTCAAGCTCGCCCAAGATTTTTAGAAGATGCAGCCATGGTGTCAATTTGAGAGTCCTACGTTGCCTGGTTCTCAAGTTATCACCTTCACAAACTTGGGCGTCCACGTCGCCCGCCGGGTGACAATAATACTCCATGAGTCTTTTGTGGCTGAGGGATAAAAACTGATCAGCAACAAGGAATGTGATGCCGAAAGGTGACACAGGACCAGAATGTAAATAATATGAGGAAAGTCACCAAACCTAAACAATATCTAGCTATATCACAATTCTTAAAAACAACAGTTTTTTATTATACTAATAGAAAACTTCGCTCTCAGACTGTGGGCTTACCTGTGGTTCCTAGGATATTTAAAAGTGGAATGGCACACAGAGTGTTCAGCCATCAGGCGCCACTCCTGTGAAACCAGCTCCCACTTTGGATTTAGGAGACAGACACCCTTCTCTACTTGTAAGATTAGACTTAAAACTTTCCTTTTTGATAAAGCAGAGCACTTAAGACTGGATTCAGGTGGTACAGAATCCTCCTTTCTAGGCTCAGGCTGCTGGGGGACTCCCCGTGATGGACTGACAATTTCTTTTCCACTCCTTAAGGCCTTTACACACTAGATTTTTTCGGACTCACCTATTCTTATTGCAACCATCCACACCGACTGTGCAGTTTTACAGTACAAATTTTTAGCATTTATTTCTTCAAACCAATCTTGATTTTTCAGCATTTTTTAAGCAACAACCACGCTCGTGCACTGGTACTAAATATCCAATGATATGGAAATGGTAGAGTAATCCTGCAGCAGTAATAATCCTAGATGAGTATTTGTGTACCTGGAACCAGGGAGTGGTGGAGAGCAGGGTGATGACATCTTCTCTTTGTCGCTCTTCTCGTCCTCTTTGATGCTCTGGCTCTTGAGATAACTCTTTGCTTCCCTGGAGTCAGCTGAAACCTCTTTATTCACCCTGAAAGATGGAGACAAATGTGTATTCTGTTAAACTGTATTAAAAAAAACATGCAGACAGATAAAAACTGCTTCAGTATCCAGCAAGCCTATGGAGCACACCTTTCCATTAAACATCATTAAACAACAAAAACAGAGGGAGTTCCAGGTCTTAAACGTGTAAGTAGTGTGTGATACAGTGAGATTAGACTCATGCATACAAGAGAAACATGTAGAGCAAAGACTTGCACCGTGTTCTTCAACATAATAACTGCTGGATAAACCAGGTATTACATATAGACTCAACAATGCAGTCACATAAATGCAGGCTAAAGGAATCTTCATGAATAGTCTGTGAGTAATTTATGATATAGGATCTTCCCCCAATCTTTGTGCACAAAATGGGCTTAAATTTTAGGCATGTAAGCATACTGCCATCAGCCCATACTGTGCTAGATGGACAGGGAGTTAAACGATGCACTTTAGAAGTTCCATGAGTACTTGCGCAGCACAGATGCTAGAAAATTCTCAGTGGTTGGCTGAAAGCCGGAATAACAACAGAAAATGTTCTCAAATCCATGATTCTGATTGAAAGTCATTAAAAATCAAGTCTTCCACTGCCCGTTTAAAGACTTAGGACTACAGTACACTTTGCCATCACGTCACACACTACTGTAGCTGAGTTTCACCAGAGCGCACAAACACAAAACTAACCTTTCCATGAGTCCGAGGCACGCTTTCATGACCATAATGCCTCTAAGCAACTGGAGACACATAAACAAGATGTCTGTGTCAAAACTGAATAGAGCAAACAGGGCCAACAGCAGGAGGGTTTCATATTTGCAGCTTAACAACCCCCCCCCCAAAAGACTGTAAGAACTATAAGCATTTGGAGCCTGTGTACAGATGAAAGTATCAAAAAATCAAGCCAAAGCAGCTTTTATTTATTCCATGGCTCAGTCAGCATATAATTTATGGTCAAGCTGCAGCTTCCTCTCTCTATCACGAAAAGACATCCAACAGCACAACGATGCAGCCCAACAAAACTGTGTTTTCTAAGCCAATTTTCTTCATATTCATTAAAGAAAAGAAACTTGAAATCCTTCGATTGTCTGCTGTTGAGGTCAACTGTATTCTAGGAATATCATTTTCAAGAGAACTCTTTAATATCTCGAACATATTGTGATATCGGGTGCTGTGTTGTTACCATAGCAATATAGCCTTTAAAACTCTGGGGTCAAAACTGAAGTCACCTTACTAACTACAAATACTGCTTCACAATGCAGGCCCCAGGGCTCCCTATCACTTTGAAATGTTGCATTAATATGATGATAACCAGATTAAGGCATAATGCTGGAATGCTACTGTTCGCAAATAACCACTGCTTAAAAAAACAAAAACACATAATCTTTGTACCACACTTCTTCATTTAAATAACAGTATTTTCAAGTTTTACTAGTGTCAGAAACTAAGCACATCTCTGGACTGTGTGGACATAAGAGTTTAGCCGACGCTCATTCACAAAATGGTCCTGTTCTTACCGACTGAGACATCCGCCTACTGCACTGCCATCAGACCAGATGGTGTGTGTCCACCTGCTGATTAGTGTGCAAATGCTTTTAAAACAGAAGCTTACCGAACCTCCTCGCCTGCAAAGTCAAAAACTTTGGTGATGGTGACTTTAGCAGGACCTGACGACTTCGTTTCAGTCACCATAGAAACAGTCTTGGAAACTGTGGAATCATCCTGAAGACAAAAACAAAAGAACGATACTAGAAAGTAAGTATATAGAAAACAGACACACAGAGAACAATGCTGTTCAACACAACAATGCTCCAATGTGAGTTTAATCAACTTGATATTTTGCAAGTTGTTTTCCCAGTTAGAGACCAGATTAAAACAGCAGCCTCACAGTGCCCAAACTACAGAGCCCACAAGTGTCTCTCCCCTGATTTCATCTTCCTTTGCTGTTGGGCAAGACTAGTGCCAACTTGAGTTACTACACCATCTTGTGGTGCAAATTGGTATCGAATCAAAGTCTGTTCAGCTCAGCTTCAATTTGAAAACCCCCACACACAGATATTTTGGACATAAGATGACTAAAAGTGTTCATGTCTCAAAGGTGGTTCATGCAAATCAAAGCAATCATCCAAGCTTTAAATTCGAACACATTTAAAAACCTGGCAAAATGAAATATCAAAGTTTCAAAGATATTTACCTTCTGTGCGGTACCCGACTGTGGTGCAGACTCTTTGGGTCTGGATCCAACGTCAGATAAGAAACTGGCCCAAAGTTCATCTGACTTTTTCTTCTGTTTTGCTTCATCATCCTGAGCCTTTGCCTTAGTGGGTGTTTTCACTTCTTCTTGTGGGTTATCCGCCTCTTTAGCTCCACCAACATCTTCATCGTTGTCGTCTACTTTCAGTAATCTCTTCTTTCTCTTTCTGTAAATGTTTTAAGTGACACCAGCGACTAAAACTCAAGATCATGAGGATCTGATGACATTTACTTTTTTTGGACATCAACTGTAGTCTATTTTATGAAGCCATAAAAAGTTTTACTTTCAAACAATGAAAATGGTCCAGTGTTCCCGCTATCAGAGAACAAACAGATTTAACTACATTTTCTCCATTTGGAAACACTGTCCTCTCATGCTGTCGAAACCTCTTACCTCACACTGATGTCCTTTTTCTTTTTTTTCTTGCTGATGGGCTCAGAATGGGGCACACTGTCATCCTCATGAAGAGGGTCCTCCTTCTCACACTCATTTATGTCATCCTCGCTGAGGTTATCATCTGAGGTGAAAAAGTACAGGAAGCAGTGTAAATGATGCGTAACAAGATCAATATCAAGAATAATCAAATCAACTTAACTGTACTAAGAGGGCATCATTTCATCAGGCTTTTTAATCAATGTGGATGTGAAACTGCATTTAAAGCTAACAATGAGAGTTAACTCAGCATGTTTTGACACAGCTGATTTGACTGATTAGCACTATTTTTTAAGTGAAGATTGTGACTTGAACCATATCACCAAGAGAACTCAGGCTTCATCTTGGTATATCAGGACTGCATCTGCCTGTTTGGACTGTATAATCTCACACCTGACTGAGCTTCCAGATTAACAGCTGCAGTCTGAGTTTTTCTACTAGAAAGTCTACAATAATCCAGGCTTTTTTTAAGCTGCCATGGCGATGTCAACTCCACGTTTTAGGGCTCCAAGTCACAAGTACTGAAGAGGGTGAGTAAGGCGCTTTTTGTAACTACTGTATAGCACTATTGCATGTGCTACTCAGGCTGTGTGCATTATTTTGTGAGTGTTTGCGTCTGGATCTGAATTTGATTTGATGCGAAAACAGTTGAATGGAAATCAAAAAACACTCGTAGCTTTCGAAGAATTTCTCAGCTTTAACATGCTTTATTTCAACACAGGGAAAGAGAGCCATCAATAACCATCAGTGTCAGTAACCATGTTTCTGCCTGTCGTTTGCAGCTCAGTTAATGATACTTAAGGTTCTTCTTTTCTTCACTGAATGGCAGAAACCTCACCATAGTGTTTACAGTCCTCACCTGATGGGACATAGTCTGCATCTTCATTCGACGAATATCCATCAGAGTCATAGTCGGAATAGTTCATCATGCTGTCACTGCTAATAAGTTCCTCCTCGCTAACGATGCAAAGTACAAACGTTACCCTTAAAACTCTGCGACGGGCATAAATAAACTGAACACCTGAAACATGTTAAACGAACGAAAATACAAAATGACTTCCGTTTCTTCTTCTTCGGCGGTTTGTCTTCTTCTTCTGGTTTAATGGCGGTTGGTAAACTATCTTAAGGAACATATGCGCCACCTACTGGACTGAAATGCGGCACAGAAGACAGGCGGGGAAAACGGAACGAAACAAACCCCGTGTATTAAATCTGTGTGCTTCATAGATGTCACTAGCTGGCCAAAGACTTGAAACAAAACCTCTGCAGGAAGACTGCTCTTAGCATCACAAGCTGGACAGATTCTGGCTGCTTGTAGTGAATACATAATCCAGCTGTGTTTGGCTGTTAACCCCTGGATCACCAATCCAGTGATAATTATTTCTTCTTCCCAGTTCTCAATCCGTGTATAAGAAGATACTTGAGTTCCATATACAATGTGCCTCATTCACCCATTCATACAAGGACTTTTTTTTTCTACACCTAAGTGCTTTCGGTCACACTAACATTCTAACATTCATATACATTCACACGCCACCCAAGCACTGGTTCAATATTTTGCCCAAGAATAATTTGGCATGCAGACTGACGCAGCCAGGGATCAAACCATCCACCCATCTTCTTCCGCTTATCCGGGGTCGCGGGGGCAGCAGCCTCCTCCAGCTTGCCCGGGGGAACACCAAGGAGTTCCCAGGCCAGCCGAGAGATATAATCTATTCAGTGTGTCCTGGGTCTGCCCGGTGGGACAAGCCCGAAACACCTTACCCAGGAGGCTCCCAGGACACATCCTTGTCAGATGTACGTACCACCTCAACTGGCTCCTTTCGATGTGAAGGAGCAGCAGCTCTACTCTGAGCCCCTCCTAGATGGCCAAACTTCTCACCCTATCTCTAAGGGAGAGTCAGCCACCCTTTGGAGGAAGCCCATTCCTCAAGTCCCCAAGTCTTGTATCCACCATCAGAAAGTGAAGCATGACAGTAATCAATTTTAGGGGAAATAAAAGCATGTAATGTCTCTGCATCAGCTAGAGAGAGGGGAACTGTACTCTGGCAATAACCTTAAGGTGATCTAAATCCTTAGTTACATTTCTGTCTTAGTTTCAGTTAAACGTCTGTGTTGCTCAAAACTAAGATCCTTGTCAAAGATGACGCCTACTGTTTGGAGATTTTTATTGCCAGTGATTGTAGGTGTTCTGACAGTTTCTTTCTCTGGGCTTCAGTACCAATAATTAAAACATCTGTTATGTGGTGTTTGAGGTTTTAAATGTTTTTTGCCATCCATGTTTTAATATAGGGCAGCTGTGGTGTAGGCGCTAGAGTGGGTTATCTACCAGTTGGAAAGCTAGTGTCAAGTATGTAGTCTGGGACAGTTGGCCTATGTGAAATTCTGTTTGAAGGTTCAGTGTGTAGGTTTTTGCCATTATGCAGCGAGCAAACAACCAAGAACCACTTACTGCTAAAGAGACAGAGTGAAAGTGCACAGTATATCCTTGGTTTCTCATCGCTTATTGTTGCAACCAGGAGGAGTACAAAAGTGTCTCCCTTGGGCTGTCTATCAGTCTATCAGCAACCAACCAACCAACCAACCCAGTGATGTTCATACCAGCACAAGAGTGGCTCTAACCTGAAGATTTATTTCCTAAAATCCAGCTTCATAGATAAATTTAAATCAGTGACTGTTTCAAGATGAAGAGCTCCATGGTGTAAATTAGCCTTTATACACGTATTGTTTCATGTCCACATTAAAACAAACTTGCATTCTCTTCCGCTTATCCTTGTCAGGGTTGTCAGGGGCTGGAGCCTATCCCAGCTACCATAGGGCGAGAGGCGGGGTACACCCTGGACAGGTCGCCAGCCTGACGCAGGGCTAACAAAACTTTTTGTTTTTTTACATCAATTTTTACATTAATTGTTGGACATTTTAGCATTTTCTTTTAAGCACAATCAATATCTAATGAGAACCCATCGGTTAGAAGAACTGATAACATATTTACGTGCTTTGATTTGACTCAAGTTTTATTTCCAGATTTGGGTACAGAAGTGCAAACTTTTCATTTAAAGGATCTATAAGAATGTGAAGACAGTTAACGCTCTAAAAATAAGGACATTAGCCATCTTTGGTTTAATGTAGTACCTAACCTGCCATATCCACTTCTTGCAATATATACTATTACTGTAAAATTACAAGCAGATTTGAAATCCAGAAAAATATTCTTGTGGAAACAAATCAGAAATATGCTACAAGAGTCATCTGAACTTGTAATGGATTACTTTTAAGAGCTTGTCATGTGATTGAAACAAGAATGAGGCTTCTTATTCCAGAAAATCCAAATATGTTTAATTTAAAACTTAAAACTTATTAAAATAGTTTGTAGCTGCACAAACAATGACTTCTTACATTAATTCAAGGTAATTTTAACAATTGATTGGAAATTAAATGTAGAATCTGTGTCTAGTGTGTAGTGAATGTGGGAAATGTGACATGTGGCACATTCAAGCTATTGTTGTATATACAAACTGTTGTACGACAACTTATCTAGTGAGAAGACCGACATTATTAACGAGTGAGAATATTTTGACATTTAAAGATCAAAAATCGATCATATTTTGAGATTTTTAATAACAAGGGGAAAAAAAGTTGATGTGTGTTGCAGCACTGTCCTTCAAAATGTGCACGGTAAAAATGTTGCTCTGTATAAACCGATCAAACTAAGAATAGACATTTATAACAGCGAGGACATTATTAAGAAGAATGGTTTAAGAGACTGACCCCTTAACCCTCAAATGCACACTTCAGGTCATTAGCAACCAAGGCCTTCTTAAAAGCTAGCAGCCATTTGTAGCTGCAGAGCAAAGCTCTAAACAGGTAAACACTGATGAAAATATAAAGAATAGTAAAATCAGTTTTGACCAATAGATCCTGACTCTTGGGCAGGAATTCCATATTGTTTCTAGAGCTCTTTTTCTTTGGCATTGTTCAAACTTTTCTAACGTTTTTGTCTAAAGATAGCAATTGACAAAGGAATTTAGTGTGCATGCCAGAACCTTCAGCTGATGTGACCAGGGCTCAAAAATAGAAGTCCCACCACTGCCAAAATAAATCAAGGCTCTAAACAGGTAAACAAAACAAATGAAAGTTGCCACATGATAGAGAAGTCCCATCTGTTCACCATCACACTGCAGTGATCGTGACCATGTGACTGTAAAAAATGTGATTAAGGGCTAAACACAATAAGTAACCAGGTACAGACAGGCTACACATTTGTCGGTTAAATTATTTAGCTGTATTATTTTTGCCACAATGAAGCCAATATATTCCAAACAGTATTTTGGGGGTTTTGATGCGGTAGCTGTAACTGAGGTAGGTAATGGCTCAGCAGTTAAATGAAAAATAATAAAGAAAATCAGTCAGATTAATAAATCAATAAATTAGGCAGTCAACAATAAGAGATTGCCAGAACTCTCCAGGTCACTAGAAAACACTAATGTAAAGGAGAGCATTTCTGATTGTTTTATTGAACTTTTATTTTTGAATAGATCTAGGGATAACTGTTCCACCATCACAGACAAGAGTGACCACAGCTGTGACTACACAGTCTCTCCCTTACAACAGTTCTGTCAAGTCTTGCTGGTTTTCTAAACCTCAGTTAACTATATTTGTCATTCGTTTAAAAAAAAGGGAGGAACGTCCGGTCCTCCACCAAAGAGTGTGAAAGATTTCTCAGTTCCCTGGGATGGAAGATGGTCTTGTATCCAAGGAGCCCCAGAAGTGGTTGACAGACAGTCTGCGTGTAAACCACCATATCAAAAGACAGCTTAACCCTCCAGTTCTCAGCATTCGCTGCAGAATCCCGAACTGTGGTGAATTTCTGCCAGGATGACAGACCACTGCTGCCCCGAGTGTTGTTGATGATCCAGTCTACCACATTGTGGTCTAGAACCAAACCAAGGAAGCTATAGAGCTCCTTTGTCTTTTGAAGAGGAAACCTGGCCAAGTCTTCATACCTGATCAAGGAAGAAAGTGCCATTGAGTATTTTATTTTTTTAAATAATGAACAAAGAAAATATATCACTCGCAGTAAATAACAATACTAAGCATTAGCATGTCAATGTGAAGTTGTTTGTCAAAAACAAATATAACAACATTCTGACTAAAAAGAAGGCAATAACCAAATAAGACCTGAATCTGGACAAAAGATAGTATATAGATATAGTTTTGACCTGTTATGAGTAGTGTCATTGCAGTTTCCCCGAGGCCTCAGTTGAAGACCTGACCTGTTAACATTTGTGGTATACTAAAAAGCTACTTTTGGTTGCTCCCTTATTCAAGAGCTTTCATCAATGAATAAATGAATTCACATATGTTGATTTGACAATTATTTTTTCTTTTCACCCTGAATTGTGAAGTCGGGGTTGGGGGTTCCTCTCTATTTCATTGTCAGTGCAGTATTTCAAAGTTTCGTTGTGCTCTAGAGTTTCTCTTCATTTGACTGAAGACTTGCTCACTTGCTCTTTGTCCTTAGATTTGGCTTCCCTGCCTCGTCAGCCTAGAGCAGGGGTGCGGCAACTCCAGGCCTCGAGGGCCGGTGTACTGCAGGTTTTAGATGTGTCCTTGATCCAACACAGCTGATTCAAATGGCTAAATTACCTC